GTTGTGTGTAGAAGTGAGTAAATAACGTATCATGTCATCTAATCAGTCATCTCAATATATGTATAAGTTGTGTGGAGAAGTGAGTAAATAACGTATCATGTCATCTAATCCGTCATCTCAATATATGTATAAGTTGTGTGTAGAAGTGAGTAGATAACGTATCATGTCATCTAATCAGTCATCTCAATATATGTATAAGTTGTGTGTAGAAGTGAGTAGATAACGTATCATGTCATCTAATCAGTCATCTCAATATATGTATAAGTTGTGTGGAGAAGTGAGTAGATAACGTATCATGTCATCTAATCAGTCATCTCAATATATGTATGAACCTTGTCGACAGTGAATGCGTGTTTAAAGTACGCCCTCTATTCAACGTGCCTCTCGATGCCCACAACATAGCATTACACACCATGCGAATTTGCTCAAAAATAAATATCAATGAAACCTAAGGCTGGTGGGAAGTCACAGAATATATATTTTATTTGATTTAGTTAAACTGTGTATGCCGTTATCTGCACCGTTACATGGTAGTATGGACTGCGATAGGAGAGATTCTGCTTTCATGACAGTATGTTCATTTAAATGCTACTCTGGATATCAGCTGATTGGTACTAGAAAAAGAGAATGTCTAGCTATTGGTGAATGGAGTGGACTTCAAGTATCATGTAGAGGTAATAGGAGGGCACTCCCAGGCAACGGAGGGGGGGGGGGGTATTTTTACTATAATCTGTCATGTGTAGATGATAGTGAACAGGCAAATACAAATGTGACCATGCTAAGTATCAGTCTAATAAAGCAACGGAAACCATATTATTTAGTGATAAAATGAAGCATGTGTCGACTTGTACAGTATATAATATATTGAAAATAAGTCTAAATTTATATACTAAGAATGAACTTATCTGAATACAATCATCGCTAATTCACCATGCTTTAATACTATCATATCAACGAGAACAAATAATTAAGATGACAAAGCGAACAATCAAAGTATACAGAAAATATGCATGTGCTTTATTGTGGCGGGATTCTTTCTCTTATGAATTTCAGAGATAACATGTCCAGTACGAGCCAATGTTGAAAACGGTGTGATCGATCCATCCAGGTGTTTAGAGGCAAAATCGTCAGTTCAGAGTATCTGCTTAGTTTCTTGTAAGAAAGGGTACACCAGAAAAGGACCCGGAAAATATCATTGTTTAATAACTGGCGAATGGACAGATGAAGACAAAGTTACCACGTGTACTGGTAAGGAAAAAGAATGTTATGTAAAGATTATAGTTTATAAAGAAAACGCACACAAAATATTTATTCAGGCATTCATGTACGCACTTGTAGTACGGTAGTGAATTTATGGAAATATATTATTTTATAGACACATCACCACCAACGATAGTGTGTCCTCTTAGTATAGTGACAGAAACATCTTCTAATAGTAATACGGCTATAGTAGAATGGGACATGCCAGACACTGAGGATAATTCAGATGACCCAGTCTCACTCACCGTAGTACCAGCTGTCACATCTCCACATCCTTTACCAATTGGTGTGCATAATATCAACTATACAGCAACAGATAAAGTCGGCAATAAAGCACATTGTAATTTCATGGTGTTTGTTCGAGGTGAGTGTTTTCAATTATGTTATTACACAGAAATGAAAACAATTCCATCCGATACTTAGAACTGTTTAGAAGGTGAAACCAGTTTACAGATCGATGTACATCTCATCAATTCTTTTCTGACTCATCGACGAATACAGTGAACATAATGTTGAATTGCTATACAAACTACCTGCCAGTGTGAAAAAATGACACAAAGTCCAACGCATAGTTACTATCAAACTATGAACAAAACATTGATAGCTGGAAACACAAATTTTAATTCAGCCTTAGTAAATGCTAATTCGAAACACGATAAATTTATACGAGTAGCGAATTTCGTTTACAAGCTGATAATACTATTTATTCAATGACAGCTTACATGTGAATTGTTATAACCCATATTGCTTCCCAGAGCTATAAGTATTAACAATACATGTGATCATTTGTTGTAGACGTACAACCACCAGTTATTGAACATTGTCGTTCTCCGCCGACAATTCTTTCACTTGAACCCATGACTTATGTTGACTGGGAACAACCAAGATTCTCTGACAACTCTGGTGAAATTACTAGTATTACACAGACACACCACCCAGGTATATTCTCATGGGGTACAACTGTAGTAGAATATGTAGCGTCCGATGCAGCTGGAAATACTAGGAAATGTCATATTGTACTCCAAGTGCAAGGTAAAGTATAAACTTACATACTAATAGCATGTGATACATAAAACCACATAATAAATTAAATGCGATATTTACTATATAGGAGTGGCCATTTTGAATACGGCAAGAAAGAGACAAGTTGTGAAACGCGTTTTTCAGATTCCAGTAAATCAGGAAAAAATACCAATTTTTCACAGCCAAACGATACATTGGAGTAATAATGAACGCGCTCTAACCAATTCGTAGTTTTGATTTGGAAAATCCCTTGCATACAAACACCTAATTACACGAGACATGGAGCACTTTCCTTGGATATCAACAAAAATTATCATCCCAAATTATTTTGAGATTTCTACTTTTAATCGGTGTTTATACA